AAAATATCGTTGCTCATTTTAAATTTATTATTTTAATTGGTATATAAAAGTTATATAATTCATTCAAATCCATTATGCTTTCGTTCTTCGCACAATGAACATGTGCGACAAGCAAACTTAAAACAGATGTCAAGAGAGCATAAAACGAAACGTCCTATTTGACTCAAAAACGTGTTATGTTTTTTGCTTAAAATGTAATTAATAAATTAAATTTTAAAAACATAAGTTTTTTTTTCTTATTTTGTTTATGAGGCATTCACCAGAACAAATTTATCGGGCTGAATTGAAACAAGAGAGTATTCGGACACCTTAACAGAGTGGTATTACTTGCGTCTCCTTTATTTTGCGTATTATAACGAACGCGAATGATAGATAAAACGTTTTTCGGCGATAAATTCCTTTAATATTTTAAGATTTAAATAATTGTGGCATAATATTTCTTTACAAATTAATTAATTTATTTAAATGTACTTATGCTAACAAATATTGAAAAACACATTGTATGAATTTACATTTAATAGCTATTTTCCATGTTTTGTTAAAATGTATGTTTTGAATATCATTTTACTAAATTGCAACATAACATAATAAAAAATGCGGGATATTGGCCTTTCATGTTTGCTGTTATCATACACCAGGCATGTACAAGACGCCTCATCAAAATTTTAATAGAATGAAAACCGTTTTTCAAAACAGCAAAATGATAGTACAGAGCTAGCAATGAATGACATAAAATATATTTAGATATCGATTGCTAAGCATTAGCCATGTCTAGTCTGCACGAGCAATATTGGTTGCAGTTTAAAAAGTCCCAACTCTTCGCAGAAGTTCAGTGCATATCATTGTTGTCAAATAGTTAATAGGTCCAACATAATTTTGTAATTCAGACGATTCAGTGATCAATAGGTACATAGTTTATAAATATATATAAATATTATATTTGTTTCATTATTTATTTATAAAGTTTATCGGTTTCAGTTATTGGTTGAGGTATAAATGATTTGAAATATGTTTACAGTCACAAAAGTAAATATACACGATATTTGATTCGATCATAGAGCAAAACCTATTTATTTAGAAATGTATAAAAAAATTCTACGTGACACCCATAATCAGCAATAATTGACAAAGAAAAATGAAGGCGTATGAAAAGTAGTAGTGTGATTTCTCAGCGAAAGTAAATTACTCCTAATTCAGAAAGTTATGGGTGTGGTCCAAACTTTACCTAATTTGTAATATCAGATCATTATAAGGGTAAATAAATAAAAATTGGAATATCTATCTACAATAAAGCGGCAAATTTTTGCTGGGATCCCCCGATTTCTGGGATAAAATGGGTATGTACGGATAGGGGAGGTCTTCCAGATCGAACAATATACATATATGTATGTACATTTTCCGCTGAAATAGTTTTTGAGATCTTTGCATTTGAAGTTCAAAAATTTAACTATTAAAAACGAGTGTTTCTCCGATTTATAATTATTTTTGCACTTATACTTTTAACGGGTAAAATTTAGAATAGCATCCCCAGATTTCAGGAATAAAATAGTGATCACTGGAAAGGTGATGTTCTCCAGATCACGAAAATATATATATATAGTATATAGTAGCCGCTGACTTATAGTTTTAAAGATATTTGCATTTAAAGTTGAAAAATTGACAAATTTTACATTGATAATTTGTATATTGCGAATAACTTTTTCACTGTGCATAATTGTGTGCATTTGCACAATAAGGAAAGGGTTGCCATGGTTATATTTTTTCCGCGCCGCGCTTCAAAAAAAATAACCACCAACCCTTTTCTTATTGTGCTAATGCACAGAAAAGAACTAAAATAAAATAATTAAAATAAAACTTTATTTACAACAAATATTAAAAAAATGAATATACAGAAACCTCATAGTGAAGTGTTAGTAAGTGAAAAGTGCATATATAAGTGAAAAAGTTATTCTCAATATACAAATTATCAATGTAAAAGTTGTCAATTTTTCAACTTTAAATGCAAATATCTTTAAACTTATAAGTCAGCGGCAACTATATATATATATATTTTCGTGATCTGGAGAACATCACCTTTCCTATCCTGATACCTATTTTATTCCCGAAATCCGGGGATGCTATTCTAAATCCCAGCCGAATGATTTTTTACATTCTCTTTGTGACTTTGTAGAATTTTCTACAAATGGACGTCTGAACTGCTGAATCGATTTTTAATTTGAATGCACACCGTGCGCAGTTTTCGCAATACTATATTATTGCAAATTATTTGGATATTAGTTGTCTATTATTTAACAGTCTCAATTATTTGTTAGCTCCAAAAGATGGTAACAGATGCCGAGAATTATTGATCGGATTGAGTAAGTATTCAAGAGATGGCGCTATGTTAGATACAAATGTTTTATATAAGCTACAATCTAATAGCATAATCACTAATTATTTTAATGGTCAATTACAAAGTAAATTTAGTTTATACCTTAGTTTCAGCAATACGTAATTCTTATGCTATTAAATTTGTGTTTTTAACATAGCGCCATCCATGGAATACTTACTCAATCCAGCCAACAGTTAACGTCATCTGTAGAATTTTCTACAAAGCATTTCTCTTTATATATTCTCGCATGAATTTGTCGTTTTACATAAATTTCTGCCAGGAAATGTGCTCAATTTTGTTAAATAGCAGCGAGAATGGCAAATTCCCTACTATAAATCTATTAGCTCTGTTAGCCGTCAAATCGAACATCATACAGAATTCGATTTGTACCATCTTTATGCTTTATGTTCTCTGGCTAATAGCGGGATTCAGTAAGCAGTCTATAATCTCTATTTGAGACATTTTGTGGTAAAATCTCAATTTGTGACTAGTTACTATTCACTAAACAGTCTCTAGCTTTAGCCTCAAAATATTGCCTCAAATTTGAGACCTGGTAGTTAGCAAGTCACAAAACCAAAAAGAACTCTTGTCTGCCATTTTGAATATACTGAATAGAGATCATCATAGATATTAATATATAAATATTGTAATTTTTTTATATTTTGTAAGCAACTCAAACACGAAAAAGTTAAAAATAAATCAGTTTTACAAAAATTTCGAAAATATTATGAAACAAAGTCAACATATATCTTTATTTCGATTGACAATTATGTTTTTTGACTATGCTATAGAAAATTTAACTTTTGTTATCGACATATTTATTTTCATGCAAGTTTAAAAGCATCTCTGAATTATTAAATGTAACAGATTTTGTGACTGTCACTTACAGAATAGCAAAAGTGTCTCAAGTCTCAAAAATTGTCTCTATCACATTTAGAGACTTGATACTGTATCACAGTTCAGAATCGCACGGTAAAATATATTTACTGTCATATTTTTGATTACCCAAGGTGTACCGTTTCAAATTTGTGGTGGATGGAGATTACGTGGAATAATAATAGTTGAACAATTTTCATCCGACGATTATTTTATGTCACATCTGGATTGTCTGACGACAACTGCTAATTGTTAATTTCGTCTACTTCTATATTTTAATCCGCCAATGCAGCCCGATTATTGAGCCAGTTATGATCCAAACAATTCATTTTTACTTTCAGGAATCAATCAAATTTGTTTCGTTTGTACATTTCCAATATCTAGAAATTGTATTATATCTGAGAATGGATCAGTTTCCAAGTGTTCGCACATTTTTACGGTTCCTACGGTATGAGTGCTTAAACATTCGTTAATCTCATTGCCTTGAGGTAAGGGAAGAATATACGTGCTGTCGGCAATCCCAGATAGTGGTATGACAGCACCACTGAGAACTTGTTGTAGTTGAAGAATTATACCGAATTGACAGTCCTTGGCCAGATAAAAACCCAACTTGGAACAGACCACCAACGACTTCATCGTTGCTATCTTTGTCAGTTTGCTACCGTTTGTTATTGTGTGAATTAATATAACTTTACAGTAAATTAAATATTGAATTAAAGTTATTTTGTACTATATTATACGGATTAAGCACAGACATACTAATTTGTGAAGTATGAAAGTGAACAATATAATGTAAAATACATTTGAAATCGTACTTTGAATTGTTGAAAATTTCAACTTTAAACGCAAATATATCGAAAACTATACATATCCTCTTCCATCCGCCCATAGTTGATAGTATACATTGTAATAAACATTCTCTTAAATTTTGAAATCCAAATTCTAATTATTACGGTCGCTACAGCGTTTCTTGTATTATAGAAAGGCAACATAATGTTGAACTTAATGACTCCAATCTGTAGACTCGTTTTTTTCAGAGTAGTATTTTTCAAAATTGTCTCCAGTTTCAAAGGAAGAATTTTGAAGTCATCTAGTTCCAATTTGGAGAGAACATTTTTAAAGTTATTCTCTATTGCGCTGTGGAAACTGTTTTTTGAAATCTTCCTATTTCTACGAAAAACTGTCGAAATATGGGCTAAACTCGATACTTTTTGTTCAAACCGCCGCCATTTTGTCAAATTAACAAAAAAAAAAAAAAAATACTCTCCATAGCATGATAGTGATTGTCCTACAGATTAATAATCTTTTTGAAATTTTTGTTTTAGATCTAAATTGCGGCCACAATTGTGGACTTCGCACAGAACATTTTTTCCCGTGGCATTTCAACAATTTATTTAACTATAATACACCTGATAAATATATATAAAAAAATTATTTTGTAATCGTCAGCTCGGCTAAGCAGCATAACTTTCTGCCTGATGAATCAGACGATAATAAGAAGATCGAGTTGGCTATACAATTCGACTAGCCCATCAAAAAAATTTTGTAAATGTCAGCCTACTGTATCGTCACTGTAGCTATGGTTGAGGTTTCTAACTTTTACTTTAGACATTTATCGTATATTAATTATTTAGCTTCCTACGCTTTTAAAGATTTTTTATAATTTTCTTAGAACCACATTGCAATTTATTATTATAATTGTTAATAAATTTTCGGCCTTAATTAGATGTTTTATATCTTTATATAATTACAGAAGTCCGTGGTGCTCCACAACATTCACCCATACAAGTTAACTCCAAAGCATTTTAAGGATAAGTTGATGCATATAAGAGATAGATAATCTATGGTCACAACTCCAAGGTTTTAGCTCTACAACATTTATAGGAGGTGGCAAGTAATTCGGTCAACTGACAGTTGGGATCTCCGGCAGATAGTGTTATTTGTACAATAATTGACCAAATATAGGAAATTAAAGAAAGATACTTCCAGACGTAAAGTTAAACTGCGTTTACTGCCGAAATAGATTTTCTTAAGTGTGCCATCGCGATGGCTGCTCCAGCAGCCTGTACGCGCTTTTCCGATAATTATGAAATTAAGGAGGAACTTGGAAAGTAAGTCAAATGTTGTAATGTATGGCTGATCTTCGAAATATTGTATATTAAATCGTATAACCAATTGCTATTTTCGACTAGTTTTTACCGAAAAAAGAAAGATATTTTTTATTTAGGCGGAATAATTACGAAAGGTAAACTTGGATACCCTGACTGCAACTATCTTACTATAAATTACTTAAAATCAGAGCTCGCAAATAACTGTCGACCGTTTCTCTTTGTCTGCAAATAAGTGTCTATCCCTAACTCTTTACGAAAAGACTCAGAGAGCAACCGTTTTATGGGTTCTTGAATGAGCTCTCTCGCGCTCTGAGCGAAACCGTTTTTTTCTATTCTGCTTTGTTCTGGTTGTTCCAAGACCGTTTTGTCGTGTTCAGTGAAGCAAAAAGTCTTTTGCGTATGTATTGGTACACATTCACACGCCGAGGCAAGCAATCGTTAAACGTCTGTTTTGCAGACGAAATATATTAATTGCGATCGTGAATTGAGTGTGTGAAGTTGAGAAATATTTGTTGTATAAAATGGGTAGAGACATGAATAAAAATGTGCACCAATTCTTTAAATTTTAGAAGAGAACAAGTCAATTTGTAATGTTTGCGGTATTAAATTCTCCGGCAATCATTCAATAAACCTAAAACGGCTTTTAATAACGAAACATGTGGACATTTTCAAAGAGCGAAACAATTCTGGATATTCAAAATTGACTCAATGTGAAGAAAAACGAAGAATACGGTATCAAACGAGCGAAAAAACTAATACTTGTACTAAACTAAAATCCAAGAAGCATTTTATACTTATTATCGCTTTATTATTTAAGGCACAAACACGAAATGCTCCACCGCTTCATGTCTCGTCAATTCTTTCAACCGCATCCTCATCTGAAGAGAAGTCGCTGTTCTCGGCATTTTTGGACGATTTGCAGACAGTGTCAGAAAGCAAAGAAGATCCTGTTTCTGCAAAACTTGTCACAATTTATGCTGACATCGAAAACTTCAACGTAACATTTGGTCGCTTGCCATTAAATTCAAATATATTGGAATTTTTTAATGATTTGCAGCTTAAGATTACTCATATAAGTGCACTAGCGCAGGTTTATATTATATTAAGTGAACGAAGAAGTTCGATTAGTGCAGAAAATCTAAACGCCTTACTAATTATAAAGCTTAACACATAATATCTAAAAAATGTTACAAAAAATATATATATAATATATGAAAAATGCAAAAAAAAATTTAAAAACATTGTCCGAAACTTTTTTTTCCTTTTTGTTAGCATTTTGTTATATGGAATCTAAATGAAACTTGTTAAGTTATTGAGTTTTTCGGTCAATCGGTCTTTTGCTGGTAAATGAAGACAGCAAGAGTCTCCTGCTCAGTGCGAGAACGAGAGAGTATGAACTTTTTCGGTTGTGCTCGCAACGAGAGCACAAGAAGAAAAACTGTCGACCGTTATTTGTGAGCTATGCTTAAAATGCTTGTAGAGTATTTTAAAAATACTGTAATTTTTGCCCAAAAGCACATGTTTAATGAATTTCACTTGATTTAGTGTGGTTGATGTTATATATGATGTAATCATAATTTCATCTTTTCCATCTTGCTTCAACATATTGCAGAAAAAACAGTTCACTTTTATATAGAAAATCACATTTTTAGAGTTGGGACAAGTATAGCCCGACATAAGCAATTCTTTTGTGTATAACAATAATAATAATATACTTGTTCTTCCCTCTATATCTCTTACAAAGTTTACGTTGGATGCAGTGAAGAAAAATTCACAGAAAAAAGTACCATTGCTTTTTGTTATCATTTGTATTCAGTGTCTACTCATATGATTCAGTGCTTCCTTTCGCTTATTAATATAGTGGAATGATTAAGAAAATCGCATTGAGATGATTGCTTTACATTGGTGTGAAAAAGGCGAAAGTGCAAAAAAAAAAAAAAAAAATAAATAAATAAGGTTACTATTATTGTTTTTAACCCAACCGTATTTTGGTTTAACTTTTGAAAATCGGTTTTGTGGTTTGTAATTCAACCCGTCAAAAAAAGTTTCGATTGGATTGTTGTCAAACTTCAAATGCTTTTGGTATTGCGGTTTTTAACATCTGCCAGTGGGATTGAATAGAGTACCAACCAAAAAATTTTACCTGCTAAGAGGCAAAATAACTGATTAAAATAGTTTACAGTTACAAATAATGTTTTTTGCTTATTTTAAGTTTTCTATAAATATTTTGCCGTAATAATAATACTGCGTTTATTTAGTTTACGGTGTCCACAGCGCACAAATATGGTGTGCGTACTATTTAAAAGCAAGTTTTGTAACAAAAATGGATATTGTAGGTCGAAAGTCGAAAACATTTTCTGAATAGAATTGTTCTGATTTTTCGTTAAAAATGTTTTCGATAGAAAATAGATTGAAAATCGTAATGCCCAAAAAGAATTGTGTTGATCTGAAGTTGAATTGCTTTACTTCAATTCAATCGAGTGAAAACGAAAACTGTTATAGGGGTATATCCATATTGTTTGTTTACCGCACCATAGAACAGTTTTCCGAAGGCTTCTTTGAAACGATCTCAACATGAACCAAACAGTGCATGTAACAAACAATAATAGCGTAAGAGCTACAGTGTTGAAAACAAGTTCAAACTTAATTTGAGATAATTGTATGGTATTTCTACAAACACGCTATAAAAATATTATGCCAATCCCAAAATCCACGCGAGACGAGTCGTGGGTTTCTTCTTCTTAATTTCCGTAGACACCGCTTACGCGATTATAGCCAATTTAACAACAGCGCGCCAGTCGTTTCTTCTTTTCGCAGTTTGGCGGTAATTCGAGATACCAAGTGCAGCCAGGCTTTTCTTCACCTGATCTCTCCAACGGTGTGGAGATCTTTCTCTTCTTCCCCGGGCGGGTACTACGTCGAATACTTTCAGAACTGGAGTGATTTCATCCATACGGATAACATGAGCAAGGTAGTGGTCACTGTCTCTTAATTCCATGAGCTATGTCAATGCCGTCGTATAACTCCTACAGCTCATTGCTTCATCGAAAACGATATTCGCCGTTGCCAATCCGCTCAACCGTAAATATTTAGCGGACTAACTGCGCAGTTGTGGAGGCAATGAAATCTATTTCATCGGCGTACGCCATTAGCTGTACCCTCTTATAAAAGATTGTGCCTTTTCGATTCAGCAGTAGATTGAAGAATTGCACGATAGGGCAAGATCAGTTTACACAGCCGTATTCGTTTTGCGAGGATATCGAAGTCAGACTTAGCGACATAAAGACAAGACAATGGCTCAAGCAGTTCACGAGTTATGGTCCTAGACCGAGTATCCACTCGGTAGCCAAAAATCATCCGCTTAAAGGCGAGACAAGGAGAGAAGGCAAATCATACCTCCCCGAGCTGAGCGCTGGATTTGGCGCCCGCAAAGTAAAATAGAAAACAGTATTTGCACTGTTGTAAATTCGTAGTACTTTTACGGCGGTGATGCCTTCACTTTTACGAGGACATCAAGCAGCTGGGCTGTGGCACCTTAGTGTGTTTGCCATGGTCGTCATCAAAAGTGAGTCTCTTATCCAAGCCTGTTTTTTTCCTCTTCATTGGGTCGTTTTTTGCGTGGCGAATCCCAAACCAAAAACTGCAAAACATTTCAAGTCCATTATCCAGTTGCTGTAATGGATTGGAGGAGGGTCCTGTTAAGGTGTCACATGTATTCACTTCTTCTTGAAGAGAGGTTCAAACTGAATTTATCAAACTTTGTCAGCAGGACGTCTTAGAAGGCATGAAAGTTAAGCTTTACTCTCTTCGATCGAGGGCATTGAATCTTCTAGCTTGTTTGTTGTTGTTGTAGCGAGTTTCGAGTATGTCAGGGTCTATTCTGGATAAGTAGCCTACAACATCTAAAATGAGACTGTGCTAGGGTCATATTTGTTTCACGCGGCAACTCCAGCTCGAATGTTACTCCTAAAAGTTTAGGATGGTTCACCGTCGGAATTCTGACGTTGTAATATAGGATTGCCGTGGATTTAGTAGGGTAAGATTTAGGCTCCTAGCAGTGAAGAAGCGAGAAAATTCTGGGAGTGAGACGGTCACTTTTTAACTCCCCCACCACCACTCTACGGGACCACCTGTTTAATTCTCCTTCATTAAGAAAGATCACCTCGAAATAATATCGCTGATTGTTGACCGCTCAGATAGCTCATGGTCCACCTCTTAAGTCCTAGGGGCCGTTTAGTTTGTTCGATGTCCTCAATTAGCGTAGTATAGTTCGCTGTGTCGAAGGTTTTCGAAAAGTCTATTGCTACTAGGACAGTTTTCTTGGAAAAGACCCGTGAAATGAGAATAGACACGCATCACCTCTTCGCCGATTTTAAGCCGTTTACGTCACGAAAAGAAACCGCCGTTATTGGGCGATGTCTGAATTTTGTATCCCGCAAAACTAATACGGCTGTGTAAACTGATGTTCAGCAACACCAAAAGCTCGGTCAGCCGGTTCGATACCAAACGAGGTTTTAGACAAGGCGGAATTTGTCACGAGGGAGGTCAATTAGTTCTTTGAGAAGTTGTACCCCCTAGAAGCAGCTTGGCATGGCGCATACTTGCTGCCTGCTGCCAATGCCATTCTCTCTCCATTCTCTTCTCCGTGCGGAGCAGCTCCTTAAGAGAGTGGGATCCTACCGCTATTAATTGTTCTGGTCCCATCATCTTAGACGCTGCCTCAGAGCGGGCCAGTTCGTTGGCCCTCTCATTTCCTTCTATTCCTTTATGCCCTGGCACCCTGATTAGGTGCACCCGGTTGCACAAAGATAGGCGGTTTAGCCTTTCTATGCATTGCTTTAGTGCCGCTTGACTATAGCTGAGAATAGCTATGCGCTGGTTGCGATATTCGCGGTGGAGGTTGCCTTCTGCGCACTGTCCCATAGTAAAAACTTAAGAATGAAAGATACTTGGAGGCATCCCATTGGTATGGACAGCTTAGTACGCGGTCCCGCAATACCTGCCCCAATACCTTCCGGTGTTTTTGAGCCGTCAGTGTACAACTGGATGGGCACTGTCTTTCAGCAGCATTTTCAGCATGGAATCGCTCCACTCCGTCTTGCTGCCCAGAGTAACTCTAAAATGTTAACTCTTCGTGGTACCGTCCTTTGGAAGGAGGGCTAGCGGTGTGCTTTTGCTACTTGTTTTATCACCTGATGCAGCGAAGTGAGCTCCAATATGACTTCCAGTGCCATCGTGGGGCATCTGCGCATTGCCCTCGAAGCACAGACACAGGCAAGCCTTTGCAGCTTTGATAGTCTCTGGACCACCGAAGACTGCGTTGCCTTTGCGCCCTAGGCAACCGCTCCATAGGTGACAATAGGCCTTACAATCATGGTATACAGCCATCTAATTATACTTGGCTTGTATCCCCAGGATCTGTCGGCCAGACTTCTGCATATCATAAGTTCTTTAGTTACTTTGGACAGCGTTAAGTCCAAATGAATACTCCACAGTAAGGATAAGTCTAAAGTGAGGCCAAGGAATTTTACCTCCTTTGACATCTCCACCCCCATGCCTCCAATTGTTAGGGGCCTCAAGCCCAGAAGAGATCTCCGCTTAGTAAAAGGGATCACGATAGTTTTTGCTGGGTTGATGTTTAACCATACCGTGTGGCACCATCCCTTCGCCAGGTTTAAGCCTTTCAACAATGTCGCAGAGAGTGTTCTCAAATCTACCTCGCGCCATTATGATATTGTCGTCCGCGTACCCTGGGCAGCGGATTCCATTACTGGTGAGCAACTCAAGGAGCTCATCTGCTACCAGGCTTTATAGCAGAGGGAATAGTACTCCACCCTGTGGGCAGCCCCTTTTGGTGCCAAGACGCATCTTGCTTTCCCCCACCGTTGTTTCCGCTACCCTAGTGCGCAGTAGAACAATTAATGCTGGACCGGTTCGCTGCCGTTTAACTCTTCCATTGTTTTGTGCAATGCTTCGAAATATTTGTGAGTCATCTTAAAATATGATTGTTTTTTTTTAACACTGCAGTATTTAAGTTTTTTTCTTTTTTTTTTTTTTTTTTGTTAATTTTAAACATTGTGTTTGGTTTGCGTATGTGAAATGAAAAACATCTTAACAGTACCATATGGTTCGTCTAAGAAATCCAGAAATCCACATTAGTAGTCAACAATTACTGTAATCCTGCAAAATGATTTCACTATGAATTTTGAACACTTAGCTACCTCCGCACAAATTGTCGGCCAAATCGGTTCAGCAGATTTAGATAAGACAAATATGTGTAATTGTTATGCATTTGTAATGCATTTAGTTTAAAATAATCTATTTTTAATAAAATAATTACGTATTTTAACAGGGGCGCCTTCTCTGTCGTCAAACGTTGTGTTCAAAAATCAACACAATTCGAGTTCGCAGCGAAAATAATCAACACAAAGAAACTCACCGCAAGAGGTAAGCGATCTAAAATACTTGTTTAAATTTCACATTTCTTTGTATTTCCTCTTGTAAATCGGGTACATTTAGCCTTATCGTAAACTTAGCGAACTCGCGAACAAAAAATTCGTATCATGAGTGTCGTGTGAAATAACCGAATTTCTATTATGCTATGATAACCTGCGACAAGCTATCACATATGGTTTTGTTTTGATTAAATCGCATTGAAAAAGTTCTCTCACCGTATAAAGCAATTTATAAACTTATTATTGTATAAATTATGCAGATAACAACGTTTGGATATGTAGGCAGTTTTGAACGAATAGTGGATTAAAAATAAACTTCTTTTTTCATTCTGAAATCGATTTCGATTTCTCTTGATGTTGGAAAAATATTCTTCTTTACTGTCGTAGAAATCGCTTACGCAATTGTAGCTGAATTAACAACCGCACGCCAGTCGTTTCTTCTTTTCGCAATTTGGCGCCAATTGGAGATTCCAAGCGTAACCTGTTGGCAAGAGTTATTCTGCGTTAGATTTCGAGGCCGACGTTGTTGTTGACGTTAATGCTGGTACTAAGATAGTAGAAGTTATCTACAACTTCGAAGTTATGACTGTCAACAGAAGCATGTGTGCCTGGTCGCAGTTTGTTTGATGACAGGACTTCTCCACAGATGTTGTCTTCGTCCAAGCCTCTGCACCATATAGCAGGACGGGAATTATGAGTGACTTATAGAGTTTGGTTTTTGTTTGCCGAGAGAGGACTTCGCTTCTCAATTGCCTACTCAGTCCGAAATGTTAGCAGGAGTTATCCTGCGTTGGATTTCCCGGCTGACATTGTTGGTGGTGTTTGCGCTGGTTCCAAGATAGAAATTATCTACAACTTCAAAGCTATGACTGCCAACAGTGACGTGAGTGCCAAGTCGCGAGTGCGACGACTGTTTGTTTGATGACAGGAAATATGTCGTCTTGTCCTCGTTCATTGCCAGATCTATTTGCTTTGCTTCCTAACTCAGTCTGGAGAAAGCAGAACTAAGAGCACGGGTGTACACTATTTTAAGAGATTTTGCCTGCTCGATTACGTTCTGCAGCTCGAATTATTTTTTCCAGCAGCAGACTGAAGAAGTCGCACGAGAGGGAGTCGCCTTGTCTGAAACCTCTTTTGGTGTCGAACGGCGCAGAGAGGTTCCTCCCGATCCTGACGGAGCTTTTTCAGTTTACACAGCCATAAGCAGCTCCTTTTTATACTGTCGAAAGCAGCTTTGAAATCGACGAAGAGACGGTGTGTGTTGATTCTCCTTTCACAGGTCTTTTTCAAAATTTGGGGCATGGTGAATATCTGGTCAGCTGTTGATTTGCCAGGTCTAAATCCACACTGACTGGAGGATGGTTCACGCAAGGAGGAAAGTTCTCCTACTATTCCTTTACGGCTACAGGGGTTGTTATTGGGCAATGGAACGTCTGTTTCATCGTCATCGATTGGGGAATCGGTTTCGCCTTCTCCTAGCGTTTTACTCTCTCTGCCAATCAGTAGGCTGGAGATGTGTTCCGTCCATAATTTTAGTATGCTCTGAGCATCGAACACTAGATCACCCTTGGGGATTCTACAGGAGTATGCTCCGGTCTTGAAACCCTTTTGTCAGCCGTCGCATTTTTTCGTAGAATTCTCGAACATTACTCTTGTCTTCCAGCTTGTCAAGCTCTTCATACTCACGCATTTCGGCCTCTTTCTTTTTCTGTCTGCAAATACGTCTCGCTTCCCTCTTCCACTCTCGGCATATATACCATCCCGCACGTGCTGTGGTCGATCGCAACGTTGCGAGGTAGGCAGTCTGTTTCCTCTCCGCTGCTACACGGCACTCTTCGTCGTAACATCCGTTTTTTTTGCATTTTCCGAAACCCAATGGTTTCGGTTGCAGCTGAGTCGATCAGCCTCAACGTATTTGGGTATGTTTCATTGTGGAGGCTGAATTTACAGACCGTAGGGCCAAATATACTTTTTTTACCCACCTTGGCGTTAAAGTCGCCAAACACAATTTTTTTTATCGTCCAAGCGCTCATAGGAGGCATCTTTGGTCACATCGTCCTTCCCTCCCGTGGGTGCAGATCAGTGATATGTTGAAGAACTTCGCTTTGATGCGTATTGTGGCTAGACGTTCATTCACCGAAGTGAATGACAGTACTCGCCGACGGAGTCTTTCTCCCACCACGAATCCCACACCAAATTTGCGCTCCTTTATACAGCCATTGTAGTAAATGCCAAAAAGACCAACCAAGGACTGACCTTGTCTCGTCCATCGCATTTCTTGGACGGCGGTGGTGCCAGCCTTCATTTTAACGAGGAATTTCAGATGCATTCTTTCAAATCGTAGTCTTTAATTATTTTGCCATGGTCGTCATCATTGGGTGCGTTTTTTACGTGGCGAGTCCCAAACCCAACGCACAACTCTGCGGAGGGGATGTTTACCTTCTTACTTTAGGATGTTCTTGGGCTACCCAGAGGATACTTGGTCAAAGACCGGTAGTCGTGAGCTATTACGTACAACATCTGTTTCAATTTCTCTCCTCTCTATGTTAATGACTATTAAAATATTGCAATGGAATATGAAAGGATACATTAACCAGAGAACGTAAAACATATAGAAGGTGCAGGTTCGTCAGCGAACATTTGTTAGATTTACAGAAAGGAATTCGCCGCAGTTGTTAAAATCGTAGTAAGGAATTCGCCTYACAATGTTAACATTGTTTACAGTTCTCTCAAATATTCAAATAGAGAAAATGAAGAGAAATAAATATATGTATTTACGGCATATTATGACATGGCATATATGACCATGCAGAGAATATGAAGAGACATAAATATATGTATGCATGCCCATGATTACACTCCCAACGAAGAATTTCGTTTTGCTTGTTTATATTTTGTTTCATTTTTGACAGCGAAAAATGTGTACAAAATACACCTCGCACAGAGAACAGAGGCAGTTTTTATGTTCTCTGTCTCACATACCCAAGAATATGAAGAGACAAATATATGTATGTATGCTCCTTATGATACTCCCAACAACAGCATTGTGATATTTTCATACTTGAATTGTTTTCGCAATGTATGTTCCATTTCATACCGTCGGCAGAAAAAGAAGATGTGCAGCGCATTTGCTCCGCTGCTGTCACAGAAGGAACAATTCGTCCCGTCGTCATGTCGGTATTTATAGAGATACTCTCTAAAACACCCGTGTCCCGTCAAAAACTGCGTCAGGTAGAAATCTGTTTCTCCGTGTTTCCTTTCTACCCACGCTTGTACATTTCTAATTAGCGTATAGGTCCATCTCTCCGTCGCAGCCGCATTCCATAATTTTTGGCACTCATTGAGGTTTTTTGCCTCTCATCCTTCCGTTCTTCCGCCGTTAGTCGCCTGCCCAGACTTGTAGATCTGTCGTATACTCTTTTGAGTTCCATGGCCATTAACTCTGGTGGCATGATGCCCGCTAATATCCCAACCGCTTCGTGTGATACCGTGCGAAATGCATATACCGAACCTAATGGCACTCAGCCGCATTGGAAAATTCGCTTTCTTAGCCTACGTCTTTTGCTGTAATGCTGGTCCCCATATGGGCGCCGCGTACCTTTTCCAATAGCGCACGCCGATTTTGGCTTGGTTCATCCACCAATGTTGGCCATTATTCTTGCTACTACGGCCGTGGCACGTGCTGCTTTCTCACATGCCTTTTCAATATGCGCCTTGTAGCTGAGTCTATTGTCTATCAGTACTCCTAGATACTTTAGCGTCTTCTGTGTCATTATACTATGATGGTCGATGTTTACTTTGATGTATTTTTCCTACTTGTGATCAGCACAGCTTAGGTTTTTTGTCCAGCGGGTTGGAGGTTTTTTTCTGTGAGCCAATCTTTAATCGTAGTCGCCGCATGATAGCAGAGGTTTTCAAGTTGGCCAAGTTCTTTTGCCACTACGGTAATGTAAATGTCATCCGCGTACCCGATGATCTGCACCTGTTTCGGTAGTAAGAGACGCAACACCCCGTCATACAATACGTTCCACAACAATAGACCAAGAACAGAGCCTTGTGGAACTCCGCCCGTTACCACATACTTCTTTTGTAACAGTAACAGCCAGGCATGCCGGGGTTTCGTAACGTTCTAGTGCACTGATAATATGGGGCCAGTATGCCGAATTAAAAGCGTTTTTGACGTCAAAGTATGTATTCCTTTGTGCCATACAGCCATCTGGTATGCTATGTCCGTAAGCTGCTTGATCGCATCAGTGGTTGATCTCTACTTACGGAATCCATACTGGTTGTCGGATCTTGTTTTTCTAAATGCAGCTCTAATCGTGCACAGATTATCCTCTCTAGAATCTTGCCAGTCGTATCCAGCATGCAGAGTGGTTGATATAAGCTCGGCTCTCCGGTTGGTTTATTTGGCTTCTGCAAGAAGACCATCCTCTGCTTTTTCCAAGTTTTTGGGAATAAACCTTTTTTTAAACACCGCGTGAACAGTTCCGTGAAAGGTCTCGCATTGTGCTCAATGGCAATCTTTAGGGCCTTATTTGGAATAAAATCCACGCCTGGTGCTTTGGTATTGCCAAATCTCTGACGTTTCTAATACCTCGCCATCGGTGACTATCGTGTTTTCTGTTTCAGCAGGTTCCTGTATGCTAGCCGTTCGGTTCTCTAGAGGCTGTGCGGGGAAAATAGTCTCCACAACTGTTTTCAGCAGCGCTGGACACGTTCGTGCTTGTCCTTTGGCACCTCTTATTTTTCTTCTTTAAAGCAGCAGGATTTTCTTTTTTTAATTGCATTTTCAGGATCACTTACCATCTAACAGGAGCTTAAAGAGTTCGACGTCAAGAGTTTCTATTTTCCACCCTTTCCTTTGTACCGTCTTAGCGGGCATACACCATCGGTTGTTCGCTGAGTGTTTGATTTCATACATAATTGCATAATGGTCACTATGCGTGCAAAGGTCGCACACCTGCCAACTTGTTGTCCGCGCCAGAGAGC